ATTATTTGGTCTCTACAATTTACTTGACTGGATCGACAAATCGTTGTTTTTAGGAAATCCACAGAGACATGAAAATAATAATGAAGAATGATTCTTTTTAAACGTGTTTGCTACAACAGGAACCCTGTCAAACACTTTAAAAGTAACAGAGAAGGAGGCACCTATATATTCAATTCATTTCTCTTATTATTGATACCATTAGTGAGCTAATTCTGTTGATGAGGCCACAGGTTCTTAAATGGCACATTTTCAATTCATATGGGCACCTTTCATTGATTGAACTGAATTTAAGCCAAATGGATAATAAACAGGATTGCAAATTGCTTAACATATGCTGCTGTAGGTGAGAAGGGAGCTTCAGAGTTCAGGATTTGTCTCCTAAATCTCCCTGCCTGCTAATAATTACTAGTTACTTGGAGGAAGACTTCTTGATTTTACCAGAATTTCCTTTTTGCTCTCTTCTTAAGTGAAGACTTCCCATTTATGAGGTTGCACCCAGATGGAGGAGGTTGGTGGTAAAAGATGAAACTTATGCGAAGTAGGGGGGTATGGTTGAAGGAAGCTGGAAATTAGGAGACCTGAGTTCTAGTTTGCCCTTGTCCAAGTCACTTCACTTAGACCTTAGTTTCCTCATCTGTAAGATTGAATTGGACTAGGTTTTTCAGTTCTGTGATTCAGAGTTCATAGTCTAAGGAGGAAACATTAGAATGTGGCCAAAATTCAAAGACAAGTAGGTTACTACACCAAGGAGACTCTAGGCAAACTGGTTTTTGGAAACCAATGCTGTCACTTTTGGATTTCACCCACCTGTTATTAAATTGTTCCTATCCTGGAGGAAGGTCTTAGCAGATTGTTTTTTCTCTGTAGTGATGTTGAATATTCTTAAAATAAACAGTGGGATGAGTAATATGGCAATGGTCAAACTTAACCAAAGGATCATCAGTTCCATCCATTTGCTTTCTTTGACACATTTTCTTTGATATTTTAAAATACTATAAATACAAATGACATTAGCAGGGCTTGATTATGGCTTAGTAAGGAATTTGTCAGGTGGGATAGTGGGGGAGAGATATAGTAGATGCATTTCTATGGGACCATTTTCTTAATTTTGTTTCTTCATCCTTGGTGCCCCTTTAAATGCCTTGGACAGGCAGAGAGACAGTTTTTTTGTTTGTTTTGTTTTGTTTTTGTGGTGAGGAGACCAGTTGTTTCAATCATCTCTATGATCCAATTAACTTTCTGCTACTTATTACCTGTTACCTTGGGTGAGCCACACCCTCTCTTGCCCTCAGTTTCCTCATCTGTAAAATGAAATGGTTGGACTATGTGACTTCTAAGGGTCTCTTCCAAGTCGAAGTCTTTGATTTTATCATCCCAATGAAATCAATCAAATAGGTAACAATTAGTCAGATAGAGTAATCTGGTGGCCAAAAGGGTAGCTGTTTATGCTGACTGATTACCAGCTTTCCCCTTCATTTTATACTGGGTAGACACAGTCATCTACAGAGTTTGTGTTTTTGTCCTTTGGGGTCACAGGAAACACACTTTATGTAACAAAGATTTCTCACTGTTGGAAGGGATATAGTAGTTCTTATGGACTCCCTTAGAGCCACTATGGTGTAGTGGATAGGATGGGGAGTCAGGAGGACGTGGGTTCAAATACTACCTCAGGCAATTCCCAGTTGTGTTAACCTGGCAAGTCTTCACCTTTCTGGGCCTCAGCTGCCTCATCTGTAAAATGAGGGCACTGGACTGGAAAACCTCTAAATTGAGGGTCTGATGAAGAACAATGAACTTACATTGTACCCAAAACACCGTGGTAGGAAATGAGCTTCTTTCTTTTGAAAGTTATGTGTTAAAAGGTCAAAAGGCAAAAACAACAAATACTCACTTTAAAATAAGGCTGCGCCCATCCATTAGCATTTCATTAAGTGATTTGATTAATGTTAACATGAAATACAGCCAAAACAACCCATTTACCATCACTCGTCTTGTTACACATAATCCTTGATCACAGATAGACGTCTATGGCTTTGCATGATATATTGGAGCGAGACATCTGGCTGAGAAGTGAGAATCCCATCAATCACTTTTCACTTGGACATTTTGTCATCACAGAGATACGGCCAAAATAGACTTAGTGAAGTTAACCCAGAAAATGATAGCAAAATGACAACTAACTCTTGAGGAATCAGCTTGTCTCACTTGCAGCCTTAGTTCCTGGATGGCCAACCCTCCCCAGACATTTTTTATGAAGGTCAAAAACCTGCAGGTGGTTGTGGTATATATATATAATGTGTGTGTGTGTGTGTGTGTGTGTGTGTGTGTGTGTGTGTGTGTGTGTGTGTGTGTGTGTGTATAAAACCTTCTCCATGAGCTGTTTGGGCCCAGAAACTCTTTGTAGCTACAACCACCTGGTACTCAGTGGATAAGTAGATAGCAGAGCCACCTGTCTTGAGTAGGAGTAGGAGGCTTTTCATGTATAAAGAGAAGTGGCTTTTGAAGATTCAACCTGGTATAAGTTTTAGGTGTTGAGGGAATGTTTTATTTATTTTTAAATGTGACACTATCTGCTTTAGATTAATCCAGTGCTAGGAAATTCTTTGGTTTGGTTCTACAGTTCCAAGAAACTAAAAAGTTTCAGATGTGTCTAAAAGCTAATCAGATCTCTAAGCCAAGAGTTTTTAAGGGGTATGTATCTGTGAACTTGTTTTTAAAAAATATTTTAATAACTGCAATTCAGTATGACTAGTTTTCTTTGTAATATTAGGTATTTTTTTTTAAAATGCATTTAAAACACTATTTTAAGAAGGCATCCATAGACTTCCCTGGGCTTCCAAAGAGGACCACAGAAAAGGTTGGAATGATGGAAATCATTTAAAACAGTACTAAAGTTCTTTCTAGAATTTTCAAAATTAGACTGCTTATTTCTTTTTTTTTTTCTTAATAGGAAACCTAAGGATTTATAGCCAATGCAGGAAAACAAGAATATAATCATTTTTTCCCCCAATGTGTGAAAACATGAGCTTTCTTAGTCAACCAGATTATAAAATGACCTACTTTTACTTTTCAGCCATGGTCAGACTCAATTGACCTCCTATTACTTTGTCACAAAGGGAGAAAAGGTATCATTGGTAAGCTGAGTCAACAAAACTCTTGTCTCAAAGTGATGAAATGTACAGAAAGGAATGCAGATACTTTATCCACAGCTAAGGGGACAGTACTGTCCTATTGTTCCCTGAACATTTTCTACCTTCTCATGCTTATAGTGCACACCTTTCTCAATCTGTTTCTTAGAACCCTATTACTTTCAAGACTCAGTTCACATGTTGGAAGTCTCTACTGGAAGCCTCATTGTGGTTTTTCCCTTTACCTCAAATTATCATATAACAACATTATTTGCATATGTGTTTTATTTAAGCCCCAGTAGAACACAAACCCCTTGAGGATAAGAATGGGTTTTATGTTGGGTCATTCATTTCCATTGCCTAGGATAGTGACTTACATATAGCAAGTACTTAATAAGCTAAGTGCTTGTTGGGTTGGAAGATCATTCATGTTTGAGAAATAGAATCTGGTGCCTTTTTTTTTTTTAGAACTCAATTTGTCTTCATTGAAGTTCATTGATTCATATGTCATCTGTATTAAAACAGAAATAACTGTCCATTGACATACAAGATTCATGTTTCCATATAAGAATTTCAACAGCAAAGAATCTCTTAAAATATTTTAAAATAACACCAGTATTAACTAGAAATGAGACAGAGAAAAAATGCCATGATACGAAAATTTAAATACTAGATACAGTGTGACCTTGGACACAGGACAGTATTGTTCAAGGTTACACAATATGCTGCTGGAAAGAATGACTTTGAGCTGTGTCTACATGACATCAACACAACTGATTGTAAAGTGAAAAAAAAATCAGCCAATCCAACTGAATGTTCTATCAACATAGCATCACTTGTAACTAATCTGACCGGCTTTTTCAGAAAATCAACTGGTTGCTTGGATGTTGAGTCTAGGCAAAGGAGCATGACATAGCTAGCTAGCTTTAAGCCACCTAAACGGTAGGGTATTCCAATCATTTAGAGCTTGAGGCCTGACCAGAATGTTGGAACAAATGATTTCCAGATGTCTCTATGCCAAGAAATATAAAGAAATTATGTTGATTTGAAGTCATCTTTTTCCTCTCTTTTGGGTATATTACAGTACAAATCTAGAGAATGTCTATCTGAGTAGCAGAAAATAGAGATAATGGCAATGCTTTTTAGGCTAATTATTTTTTCCCATCTTTGTAGGGCAGCACTATATCTTCCCAAGTTGAAAAAGTGAGAAAGCCACCTCCAGTGACTACTCTTGTTGTAGGGTAAGGCAAACACTTTTTTACCTATCCTACTTTCTCCCTTATCTCCCTCTAAGCGCCCCCCCCCAAAAAAAAACACCAAAAAATTATACCACAAAACCTTCTGAGGGCTCCCCTCCTTAGGTTTACAAAATCTCAGGCTGATTAATAAGTCAGAGTATCAGGCTTACTCAGAATACAGAATACCTTTTCCCTGATGGGTACAGAAGTGCCTTCATGTGTACATTGAACCAGATTTCAGCCCACTAGGGTCCCATTTTAGAAATTCTGAGACCTATCAAGATGACTACAGAGCTGAATGACCCAAGGCCTTAGTCATAATGATTCACTACCACAAACATACAGGATCCCCAAATCAGTAGAAACCTAGAAACAACTGTCTGCTGAATTGACTGCTGAACAAGGAGCAAATATCAATTCTTCTGGGTTTCTGCTATTCATGGTGCTGAGTAAATTAAGCATGACAGAAAAGTACAGCTGACTTAGTTTCTCCCCCACCTGCACAAATTCCATGTAGAATACTAAATCAGCTCCAAGATAGACGTTAGCAACCTCCAAGAATTAAGTCAACTTCCAAAGGTAACCAATACCTAACCAGGTACTTGTAAATTCATTACTCAAGCAATCAATTTCATTAATTCATGGGAAATTTTAATAAATTTCAATTATTTCACATGTAATTTGGCAAATTCATGGCAAAACTGGGGAGCAATCCTTGTCATTATCAATACCATCTTCATCCAGGGAGTTGAAAATCATAGATTATCATAGCTTGGAAGGGACCCTATACAGAAACCACCTAGTCCAACCTCCTCAGTGGATAAGATGAGGAAACTGAGGGTCAAAATGGTGAAGTAATCTGTCTAAGATCACAGAGATAGTTAAGAGTCAGACCTGGGACTATGATCTTGGTCTTTTGACTTAGTCCAATGTTTCACCACTAAGGAATCAAATTTTAAAGGAGATTGATTCATTTGCTAAATAGAATATAATCTCCTTGAGGACAGGCACTTCCACTTTTGTCCTTGTGTCCCTAAGGTTTATAGTACTTGGCACATAGCAAGAGTTTAATAATTGCCTGTTGATTGATTGATTTCCCTATCAACAAAACATTGTAGCTAATATATAAAGAGTGAGAGATCTCTATACAAATATAGAGATCTCTATATAAACTATAATTATTTGGGAAATCAATCAATCAACAAGTAATTATGAAACTCTTACTATGTATATGTATATATATATATATATATATTGCTGGATTTTTTGTTATACATATACATATATGTATATATCCCTGGATTATTTTCTATTCACCCAGCTACCCTAAATGACCCATTTTAGGTTGGGATGGAAATATTCCATATTGAGGTTAAAATATACTGAGGGACAAAGAGATCCTGGACTATTCTGAAAGAACCATCATTTGTTTCCCATGGCTGACAAAAACTGAACAGGATATAGCATTAAATAGCCATCTTCCCATGTGTATAGATGCTGATCTCTCAAATTGTAAGCTAACATGGCAAGAACAGACTGTGAAGTTCTTAGGTCAAAACTCACATTGATCTGCTTCCTCTGTAACAAATCAAAAGCAAAGGTTATCTTCATGTCTTTGGTGTCTGTGACATAGAGGATGCCACAGGCAACAAAGGCGTTGCCTGCTTTGGATTTGGGGTACGTGGTGTTGATGTACTGGAGGACCGAAAAGGTGCTTTCCTCCAGCTGGGCCACAAAGATACTGGACTCATCCAGACTTGAAGCATAGATAATCCAAAGGCCCTTTTCATCAACTGCAAAATTGAAGTATGTCTTTGCGTTTACAAAGAGATAATTTCGACCAAAGTGCAAGGCATTTTCAATCTTCAGTGTTTCATAGGTTTCCATTGCAAATTCAAATCTGAAAAAAAATTTTTTTTAAAGAAAAGTCAGTATTTTCATGTAGAGTGGGAGAACCCCCAGTGAAATGAAAATGTGTTATATTTCCATCATCCTGACAGAGCTACATGAGAGACCAACTGATAACAGTGACATTCTGAAGCACAATTGTGGTCAAGTCACTCTGGCTGAAATATGCCCTTTATTAAGACTCCATAACATATCTCATTCATTTGCTAAATCAAATGTAAACTCCTTGAGGACAGGCCCTATTTGGCCAGGGCATGGGCTCAGTATTTCTTTTATTTTCTTTTTTATTTTCTGTGGAGACACAGTCTTCTTTACTGGTCCTGTCATCAGAATTGGCCACAGTACAGACCCATCCTCGCACATGGTCTGGGCATGTCCACTAATGGCATATATGTGAAGCAGCAAGCCTAAGTAAGGAAGATCTGAGCTTAAATCCAGCCTCAAGCACTTAGTAGTTATGTGACCCTGGGCAAGTCACTTAACCTCTGTTTGCTTCAATTTCCTTATCTTTAAAATGGGGATCATAATAGCACTTACCTCCCAGGGTTGCTGTCAGGAGCAAATGGGATATTATTTGTGAAGTGCTTTGTAAATATTAAAGTAGTATACAAATGCTAGAAGACCTGAGTTCACATCTAAACTAAGACACTTACTAGCTGGGTGTTGTTAGTTGTGTCTGCCTCTTGTGACCCCATTTTCTTGGCAAAGATACTGGAGTGGTTTGCCATTTCCTTCTCCAGCTCATTTTACAGATGAGGAAGCTGAGTTAACTGAGGGCCACACAGCTGGTAAGTGTCTGAAGCCAGGTTTGAACTCAGGAAGATGAGTCTTTTCTGATTTCAGTCCAGAGCTCTATCCATTGCACCACCTGGCTGCAATCAGGATCCAGGAACACAATTTTAATTAAGTTTTATGAAGTGACAACTGGTTGAAAAAAGCACTATGATTTGGGCTTGGCAAGGTACTCAGTCACTTAGCATACAATGCAGTGTGTGAATGTGTGTGGGAATATAATGAAGGATGCTTTAAATATTTTTGTAATTGCACATATTTTGAATACTAGAAGATTCTATTCTCCATTATTTTGTAACATCACAAATCACAAGCATTACAGTGAAAGGTCAAAGCTTGGTAAATGGTGACACATGATTTAGGAGACACAATCCCTGAATGACGGAAGACAAGGCACACCCAGAGAAGATCACTCCTTAGGGTCATGCACTTAGCTCTGTGCCATTCCTGTTGTCTGAAGCCCCAGGATGACATTAGGCCTTCATTTCAGTACTCAGTTTTTCTTCCTCTAGGTATGGTGCCTGAGACACTGCTAAGGAGATTGACAGGGGAAGGGAATGGTTAAGGATCATCACTCTAGATCTGAAAGGAACCGTAGGGATCATCCGGCCCAAATCTCTCCTTTTACAGATGAGGAAAATGAGGACAAAAGAAGTTAAATAATTCACTCAAGATGACATAGTGACTTGGGGCACAGACAGGGCTCAAACCCCAATTCTCTGACTCCAAATCCAGGTCTCGTTAAAATATGCCCTGATCCTTCTCTGTTCATAGAACTCTTGCACTCCGTAATCTTAAAGTGTTGTTATTATTGTGACATATTTATAAGAAAATATTGATATGGATATAAAGAAGCAATCTCAAAGGAGTTAGGTGACTTTAACACCAAGGTAGCAGCAGAAACAGAGCTAGACTCAACCCAATGCTTTTTCCACCACTCCATTCTGCTAAAGAGGCAGCTAGGCGGCTCAATGGACAGAGCACTTGGCCTGGAGTCAGAAAGGCTCAAGTTCAAATTCAGCCTCAGACCTTTACCAGCTGTGTGACCCTAGGCAAGCCATTTCACCTTTTGTTTGCCTTAATCCACTGGAGAAGGAAATGGTAAACAATTCCAAGAAAACCTCATGAACAGCATGATCCATGGACTCATGAAGAATTGGACACAACTGAACAGCAACACCAAATCTTAAAAAAAAAAATCCAGACCTCTGATTTCATTGGTGAAGGGACTCCCTCTCCCAACCCAGATCAGCATCTGCTATGCTGGTTGTAATCTAGGAGGATTTAGAAGTGACTTGCTTAAGGTCACGCAGCTACTGGGTCTGTCATAGATGAGCATTGAACCCGAGTCTTCATGACTCCAAAGGTAGTTCTCTAGCAACCATGCCTTGCTGCCTCTTTGACAGATCACTATCATGGAAGACACTGAGAGCGATTTAATAAGAGAAGAGGCAGCTGGCAGTAGCGTGGATCGAGTGCAGGGCCCAGAGTCAGGAAGACCTCTGTTCAAATCCAACCTCAGATACTAACTAGATGCGTGACCTTGGGCAACTCACTTAACTTCTATTTGCCTCAGTTTTCTCAGCTATAAAATGGGAATAATATTATAGCACCTACCTCCCAGGGTTGTTGAGAGGTTCAAATGAGATAATGTGTGTTAAGCACTTAGCGCCGGGCCTAGCACATAGTAGGTGCTATTTAAATGCTTATTCTCTTCCCCTTTTTTAGAATCTAGGGGCTGTCTGACCCACTCTTTCTGCATTCCTGGAGGAATTCATATCTAAATGGTGTTGATGAAGGTGAGTTACAGTTAACAGCTTATTTAGCTGGAGAAGTGGAAGTCTGAGCAATTCAGTTAAGGGCTGAAATCATAAAACGAACACCAGAGGGTATCATTGAGCAGCAAAAGAAACGTTCTGAAATCACTTTGTATAAATTTGAGAAGATTGCCCAGTGCTTTAAGATTGGCAAATTTCTCTCCCTCATGACAACCCTATAATGTAGATAGCGCAAACATCAATATCACCATTTCACAAATGAGGAAACTGAGGCTCAAAGAGGTTTTGTGTACAGAAGCAAGATGGCAAGATGTTGTAGTCGTGTCAAACTCATTTAGAAAAGGCCACTAACCCGAACATAAGGAACCCTGCAAGCTGCGTCGTGACTTATAAAGTCACAAATTAACGTTAACTATGTTGTATTATATTTTTGATTTATTTTGTTAAATATTTTTCAATTACATTTTAATCTTATGTGGCTGCATTCAGGATTTTGCAGGAGGATTGAGGTACAGAGGTTGACACCTCTGGTGTAATGGATTTGGTACTGGACTTAGAGAAAAGAAGTTCAAATCTTGCCTCCGATGCTTTGCAGCTAAATAAGTCTTGGGAAGTCATTTTACCTCTTTGGAGTTCAGTTCCTCATCTAGGAAGTGCGGGAATTGAACTAGATGGTCTTTGAGGTTCCTTTCAGCTCTAATTCTCTGATGTTATGATTTGTCCATGGTCAAACCCCTAGTAAGCATGAGGGACGGATGGGATAGGAAACCCGATCTCTGACTCCAAACCCAGGGCTCATTCCCATATACAGCCTTCCCATGGATTTGGAAACCAACTGTTTTGAAGCTGAGAATGAATCCTTGAAAGATATCGTAGCAAGAAGGTGGTGCATGAAAGGGATGCTTTTGTGAAGCCCAAGGTGACTTCTTCTACCTCTGGAGTCTTTTTCTATGGCGGTATCATTGAGAGAGGGCTGGACTTGGAGTCAGGAAGACCCTGGGCAAGTCACGTGATCTGTCTGGAACTCAGGCTCCTCATCTGTAAAATTCGGGGTTAAATTGAGGGATCATTAAGGTCCCTTTTAGCTCTGGATCTCTGATTGCCTCTGCCACTCATCAGGCCCTTAACTAACAACATTAAGATGAATAAATTGATATGCTCATGGTGTGTCTTCTTTCTCCAACAGGACTGGACGCTCCTTGAGAACAAGAATTACATATATCTTACACTTCATCGTTACCCCTGCATCCTAAAGCAGAGTGACCCATATGCAGTAGGTATTTAATAAACTTGGTCAATCGCACTTCAGAATATGGTTTCCTCAAAACAAAACAAAATAAAACAACATCCATCCATCCATATATATATATATATATATATATATATGTATACACACATACACACACACACACACACACACACACACACACCCCTATGAGTTCTTCTTTTTTTTTTCCACACGTTTTATGGACTTTATAAAGGGCCTAGGTTTGAATTCTGGCTCAACTAATTACTACGTGTGTAGTAGGATTACCACCATGACTTCTTGAAGGGACTAGTCTCCTCCAGAGATACTTGTCTGCAACGGAGCTCTCCTCCACCCTTAGGGCTCTCCCACAGTCCCATATGCAGCAGCCCTTGTTGGAATAATAACACAGAATGATAAGGAGTCAGGAAAGGCTATTGGGTCAGTATTTGGAGAGAGAGAGAGAGAGAGAGAGAGAGAGGCAGCAGGAAGAGAAATGCCATTGAAATAGCAGCCCCATTCCTAATATTCTAGGTGCTCCATCTTTCTCTCTTTTGACCACCCTCTTCTCTGGGGCTCAGTTTCCTTATCTGTAACACAAAGAAGCTATATGAGATGCTCTCTGAGGTCCCTTCCAGCTCTGTATTTCTGTGACTTGATGATTCCTCATCCTTCTTGACTTCTTTGCATCATTTGACCATGTCAACCATGCCTTCCTCCTAGGAACTAGTGATTTCTTGGGTGTTGACGATGCTACTTTCCTGGTGCTCCTCCCACCTGTCTGACCACCCCTTGGTGTCTTTCGCTGGGTCATCACTGACATCCTCCTCCCTGTGCACAAGGCTATATTCCAAAGATATCCAAAAGAGGGGTGTGTGCGTGCGTGTGTGTGTGGAATCTCCCCTCAATCAATCAATCAATCAATATGTATTAACTACTATGTGCCAAGCACAAGGACCCACTTCTAATCTAGCTGCCTCCATTCCAGGGGGACATGAAGGATTCACTTTTTATGAAGCATTAGGGAGCTGATCTTGAAGTCAGGTTTGAATCTTCCTCTGACACTGACTCTCTGTGTGACAACGGGCAGGTTATTTGACTTACCTGAGTCACAGTTTCCTCATTCTGAAAATAGGGATAATAAATAATGCCCATGCTACCTATCTCGTAGGATTGTTGTGATACTCAAATGGGCTAGCGCATATAAAGTATTTTGCAAATTTTAAATCATCATGTAAATGTCTATTATTTTGCCCTTTGAGCCTCTGCCCTTCTGTCTCTCTGCCTCTCTCTTTCTCTGTCTGTCTCTCTATCTCTCTCTGTCTTTGTCTCTCTCTGTCTGTCTTTATATCTCTGTCTCTCTCTGTTTCTGTTTGTCTGCCTGCCTGTTTCTCAGCTGCCCAGGCCAACAGCAGACTGCCTCTGGTACTGAAAAGTCAGCGCAAGAGCTCTTTGAGCCCAAGTCAGGCTTAATTTTGAGTTGAACCAATAGTGACTGTTTGATGACCCCGTTCTTGCCCTGGGAGACTTTCTTGAATTTCTAGTGAAATTTTTGGGGTCAGGTAGAGCCATAGCCTGATTTCTACCAGATTACAGCAGTGGGCTCTAGTGGCACAAGGACCCAGTAAGTCAGGGCAGACTGGGTAAAATCCACTTGTGTTCTCTCCAGTATTGGATGTATTTTCCCTCATGTCCCCAACTTGCCCAGGAGGAGGAGGCATACTTCTTGCTCCTCACTACCAATTCCAGACCAACATTACTCAGCAACTGTTCCTTTGAGGTTCACTCCATCCATTTATATCACCCTGCCCAGGTCCTAGTTGCTATACCTACTTTCCTCCACATCATTCTCTCTTCTTTTCT